TTTTTTATAGCATCATGAAGAAGAGCTGGTTGAAGTCCATTTGCATAACATTGCAGAGCTGGCGGAGTTCCGGGTGAACGGGAAATTAGGACCCATGAGTCAGTTGGAAGTTTCGTGCAAAAACTTCGAGTTGATAAAATTTAACTTTCCGGGAGAAGCTGTATCGGGCGACGCGTACGTGAAAATCAGCCAGATACTCATGAACAAACTCCAGCCGGCAGCTTATGTTTTCGCTCGTCAGCCTGACACTTCTGGATGGGCAGCCTACGACCCACAAGCCGAGTTCACTCGACTGGGGTTTAAAGCACCAAAAAGTGGCACTCAGATTGGTGGATTTCGCATCGCACACGTGAACAATAACTACAAAATGTCTCCCTCCTATCCCAGCGCATTTGTGGTACCTGCGTCGGTATCTGATGGCGAGTTGCGGAAGATTAGTTTCTTCCGTGCTCGTGGACGGGTGCCAGCCGTGACTTATCGGCACAAGAATGATGCGGTGGTAGCGAGGTGTGCACAGCCACTTGTTGGGCTGCGGAGGAAAAGATGCACGTCGGATGAAGCGTACATGGTCGCACTTCGCCGAGAATGTAAAGGGAAACTACTTTTCATCGACTGCAGAAGCCAAACCAGCGCGTATGGCAATATTGCACTGGGCGGAGGGTTTGAAGTGTACGTGCGGTGTAATTTTGAGGTCATTGTGCTTAGTTTACTAACTGATGTGTCTGCAGGTTGGACTATTACAAGGATACCAATATCATGTTCATGGGTATTGAGAATATCCACTCTATGCGAGATTCTATCCGCAAACTTTTCGATCTCATTAAGAACGAAATTCGCGGCAATGAACGACCAAACTGGCTTTCATGTCTAGAGGTGCATATTTTTTTACTCTTTTTATTTCAATTGTGGAGCTAATATTTATGTTGTTGCACAGAGTACGCGATGGCTAGAGCATGTGCGCTCGATCTTAGTGTCATGCTCCGTCTGTGTGACTAAGCTCGTCGAAGGTACCAGCTTAGTGATCCATTGTTCGGATGGTTGGGACCGTACCGCTCAGATCGCGGCACTGGTGAAGCTGTGCGCAGATCCGTTTTACCGTACGATAAAGGGGTTTCAAGTGAGTGCAAGTTGGTCTCTTTCAACTTGAAACGTTGATGTACTTAGTTATCTCTTATGCTAGGTATTGGTTGAGCAAGAGTGGTGTGCCTTTGGACATCAATTCCGTGCACGATCGGGCCACACTGACACTCAAGCTGCTTACTGGGAAGACGACAGCACGTCACCTGTTTTCATTCAATTCGTGGACGCCGTGTGGCAACTAATGCGCCAGTTCCCTTGCTCATTCGAGTTCAGCGAACGCTACCTCATCGCTTTACTTGATGAAGTCTATAGCAAGCGTAGTGGAACGTTCCTCCATGATTGCGAAGAAGCTCGAATGGTGAGTAACTGGTAGGCTATCTCTATCCAAATCTCCACGCCTAAACCTTGTTACTACAGGGGTCCAAGACTGTTATTCGATGCACCAGCGCGTGGACGTTGCTGGAGGCGCATCCTCAAGCTGTTGACTTCCGAAATCCGTTTTTCATGGTTCCTCTTAGTGGCGAAGGATCGAAGGAAAAATCTCCGACTGTGCTGCAGTGCAAGTGGCATACAAGTTCATTGGCAATCTGGTCGTCGTTTTATCTGCGCTCGCTGGAATCGAATGACTCACGGGTATACAAGGTCCCATTCTGTAGCTTGCTGTTGTGCTGGCAGACACGAGTCATCTAACGCTATTTTGTGTTGACTATTAGGACGCGTGGGCCAAGGAGCTGCAAGTCACGCAGCGTGAACTGCAGGATCAGCTGAGTACCGCACACCAGCAGTTGCAGTCTCAAGTGGAGCAGAACTCGGATCTTCAGAGCGAGTTGGAGCAGCTTCGACGAGAGCGCGCACAGTTGACTCGGTTGCTAGAGGGTGAGGTGTACAGTGATACTCTGAATGGCTTGCTGGTGCACGAAGAGGACGAGGACGAAGATGGCGTGTTGTTGAGTGTGACGCCTGTGGGTGAGAGTCGCACCACGCTAGAAACCTCCTGTAGTGATACTGGCTCTACAACGCCAGGAGCCAACGAGGTCAAGGTGTACTCGACCACCGGTGTGGGGTGCTTCCTCGGCGGCTCGATGAGTCAGGACTTTGAGATTTTGCAGTCATATTTCGACCCAACACGACGCGAAACTCGATCTATGGACCCGACGTCGAGCAGTAACGGGTGCAATGACTTGTTCACGAGGAGAATCACGGTGGAGGAAGTGGTGCGGTGAAAGTGTATCGGTTGATTAGGCTTGTAAAAGAAAAAGATTATTTTTTTTCGGTGCTTGACGTGAGTCATTTTTCTGATTATGGCAAGAATATTGTGGTACGCATTTCTATTTTTAGCCAATCAGCAGCGCCCAACACATCGCACTTCGCCATCACATACAACAACAATTGCATCCGCAATTCGGCTTGGGAAAGACGCCAACGGCAGCATGAGCGCGTGGCAAGGCAGTGAGGATGGAGAGGAGAAGGAATGCAAACTGCTGAGCGGCGATTTCGCCGTGCTGTTGCAAGTGCTGCTGGGATTCATTGCCATCTCCGTGCTGGCGTTTAAGCGATGGCGTGAAGTGCCTCGACGTCCGCTGATGGTAAAACTTTTGTCACGGCTGAGGTGGCAAAAAGTGGCAAACTGTGGCTAAAGATTTTTTTTTTTGTTTACTTGATTGACTTTTGGCAAAAAAAAAAAAATTATAGGTGTGGGCTTTCGATGCCTCGAAGCAAATGGTTGGTGCCACGTTTGCGCATGTGGCAAACCTGCTCATTGCCATCGTGCTCTACTCGTATCAAGAGGAACTCGAGTCCGACGAAGAACCAGTTGACCAGGTACTACGCATTGTGAAACGAAATCTTGGAAATGCCCGACTTATTGACAATATTTTGCATTTGTTGTTTCAGTGTGCGCTGTATTTTGTGAATTTCACTTTGGATACAACGTTGGGAGTATTCCTCAACTATGTGTTGCTATCGGCGGTGGTGCTTTTGGCACTTCGTTTCAGTTGGTCTTCACTGAAAACTCCCGGTGACTATGGCACTCCCGTTCGCGTGCGAACATGGATATTGCAAGTGATTTCGTGGATTATTGTCATTTTCACCTGCAAATTTCTCATTGCGGTGCTTATCGTGGCGTTCCAAAAGCCGTTGGGAGCTTTTGCGGTGCTGCTTTTCAAACCTTTGGAGGAATACCCTGACGTGGAACTGGCAATCGTCATGATCGCATGTCCGTGTCTGATGAACGCGTTGCAGTTCTGGGTCCAGGACAATTTCCTCAAAAAGGATGTTCGCGACGAAAGCTTCATCGTGGCACAAGCGGCCCAATCTCCAACTGGCAGCTTGAACGGCGATGGCAAACTGCCCAGCTTAGGCACACCTACAGACGACGAGTGCAGTGAACCTGGCGAAGGAGACCCCAAACTTACAATTGCCACTGGCAACACACAAGAACCAGGCGAAAAGGAAAAGAAACTCGAACTCGACCTCTCATCCATTTAATTCCCCAAAAGTGTATGTACTTAGACCAAAATTTGCCTTTGCAACTTGCAAACGAAGCATCTTTCCATTGATAAAGCCAAAATCGTGACGTTCTATACGCAATTCGTATTGCTTTATTCAATCCACCTACACTCCTACCCATTATTTTCCCTACTTACGTCGCAGCAGCATGAGCGCCATTGCACCCAGACCCACCACCAGCGTCGCCGCACCACCGGCAATAAGACCCGCTTGGTTATTGAGAGAGAAGCCTTGCACGCGCTCCCGTTTGCGTCGAGACTTTTTGCTCTTCTTGCGCACGATTTCTTCGTCGCTGCTCTCGTCACTGCTCTCCGACGAAGAAGACATCTCGTCCACCTTAGTGAGCAGTCGGTTGCGTGGCTTCGGACCGACAGCATTCGAGCCACTGGGAGCCACACTAGGCGTCGCACTGGCCGCTGAACTGGCCATGGACACGACGCTGCCGTTGCCGTCGTGCTGCGGCCGCTTGACCACGTCCACCACAAGGACCAGGCGCTTCCAGCCGGCGCGCTGGGCCATGTGAACAGCCTCTACGAGACTCTCATCGGACGTCAGCAGCGCCAGGTCGCCTTCGTCATCCTCGTACTTGAGTCTTAAGGCCTCGTTGTCGTCCATTCCCATCTTGAATCGGATCTGCTCCAGCAATGGTCCCATTGAGTTGAATCTGCACATGATGCGGTGGAAATGGCCCTGTGCGCCGTCGCTCACCTTGAACACGAACGTGTTGTCGTCCATATTCTTCTGCATCAACACACTCGTCGTGGCTGTATTCGCTCCACTCACCACCGACACACTCTCGCCCAGTTCAGCATATGCACCCAACGAGTTCGAGTATCGACCCGCGCCATTAAGACCCACAGCACTGGCCGTCGGGGTCGATACACTCCCGCCAGCGTTGTACTCATCGCGCTCGAACTCCTCGATCGTTCCAACCGACCGTGCGTCGTCATTCATGCCGCCGTACGCGCCGCCAGCCACCTCTTCTTGGAGATTCATCGCCGTCTGCCAGAACTGGCGCCAGTCGCCGTTCGAAGTGCCGCCGGACGTCGTCTGGAACTGGCCGTAGCTCAGACAAATGACGTCTGCCATGCCGAGGATCTCGCCGTCGTCTGCCAGCACAGGCATGAACAATTGACCGGCGTCATGCAGCGAACGTAAGCCGTCCACGATGCTCATATCCGGTCCCATGAGATCCGGGTCCATCGTCATCACTTCCTCGACTGTAGTCGTCTCGGCGTACAAGCCCTTGGCTACCAGCTTACGCAATAGGTCCTTGGTGGTCACCATACCGCACAACTCCTGCTCATCGCCCAGCACGATCGCAGCCTTCTTGGTGTTCGCCATCAGCTTGGCTGCACGCGCCGCCGTCGTGTGAATATTCACCACAGGGGGCATGATCTCGCCGTCCAGCGCGTCTCCAACAGTAGGTCGCACCATCTTCTCCATCATGGGACCGAGTAGACGCTGCAGGTTCGAACCAGTGCCTAGATCACGTGAGAACTCGGACGCCGCCGCCTCTGTAGACTGTTGCACCTTCTCCAGACACGTGATGGCGTCGTACAGACACTTGGAGATGTCCAGCATGCCCTGCGGTGTGCCGTCCGAGCCAAGTACCGGCAAGTGTTTGAAGCGGCCCTCGAGCATCTTGGTGATCGCCTCGATAGCCTGGTCCTCCATGTACACGCACATAGGCTTGGTCGTCATCACCGAAGCCACGGAACAACTCTCCGGGTCGATCTCTTCAGCCAGCACACGGCGCGTAATGTCCGTGTCTGTCAAGATACCGCGCAGTTCTCCTTCTTCCGTGGTCACCACAACAGCCTCGACGCGTGCTTGACGCATGCGCCTGGCTGCCTCCGCTACAGTGATAAACTCGTTGATACGTGTAACCTCTTGCGGTCGCAACATGGATACAGGCCGCATAGCTCCTTCAGGCTCGGGAATGTGGTCCATCATGGACGAATGGTGGCTCTCCGTGTACTTACCAGGTCGACGGCGGGACACTCGCGAGCCTGTGACACTGGCAAGTTCACTGAAGTCGTCTTCGTCGTGGCCGAGCGCCAGTGATACGTCCCAGAACGCGCGCCAGTCCGAGTCTTCGTCAACAGGCTTGCCGCTTTCAGCCGCTGCGCCGCTCGCGAACGTGCCGTAGCACAGCGACAGGACATCCAGCATGCCCACAATCGTAGCCGTCTCGTCGTTGACAACAGGCAAGTGCAGGAAGTTGTGCTCGTACATGATGTGCAGCGCGTCAACGAGCCTCGTACTGGGCGGCGCCGTCTCCGGATCAGGCGTCATGACTTGACCTACCGTCGTCTCGGCGGCATCCAGACCAGCGCCAGTCACACGTAGCAGCAGATCCTTGGGTGTAAAGACACCCAACACCTTTCTAGTAAGCGCCGAGGTGCCGATATCGTAGCCTCCTCCACTGATCGACGAGCGGTGTCCACCACTAATAGACGAGCTGTTGTCTCCATTGGGGTCCTCCACAATAAGCGCAGCCTTACGCGACGCAGCCATCTGACGCGCCACTTCCATCACTGTATCGTGTTCACTGACAAGTGGAGGCAAAGTCTCATCCTCCAAGATCTGGTCCACTGTAGGCGACAGAAGCTTCTCCACCATAGGAGCCACAAGCTGCTTCAACGCACCTTGTCCAGTACCGATACCCGTCGCCTGCAACTGCTTCTCCAGGCGCTGTCGAAGAGAGCCACTCGACGACTGCTGCACCTTCTCAATGCGCGTGATGGCGTCGTACAGACACTTCTGGATACGCAGCATACCTGCAACCATACCGGTTTCATCCACGACAGGCAGGTGACGGAACTTGCCCTCTAGCATCATAAACATGGCATCCATAGCGCTGTCGCGTTCGTCCACAAACTTGGGATCCGGGGTCATTGCATCCAATACACTCACGTAGAACGGGTCGTTGCCCAGCGCCACAACACGCCGCGTTACGTCTGTATCTGTCAGGATACCGAGCAGTCCGCCATCACGCCCAATCACCAGCGCAGCGTCCGTCTGTGCAGTGCTCATTTCCTTGGCAGCGTCAGCGACTGAGAATGTCTCGGAGATCGTGATCGCCTTGGATGGTCGCAACTTGGACACGGGACGTACATTCCCGGTCGCCAAGTTAGCTTGACGCCCCTTTTGGCTTAATCCACTGCTGCTAGGTGCGAGGTTGTGCGAGAATCCACTGCGGAAACTGTGTTGCGATGACACATCGTCGTCGTCTGTGGCCTCGAACGAAGCGTTCCAGAAAGACTTCCACTCACTCGGCTTGCCCTTCGCGAATGATCCATAACTCAACGACAGCACGTCGATCAGTCCGATAGGTTGTTTGCTAGTCTCCGTCTGCATCACAGCCAAATACAGCGTCTTGTGGTCGTGCATCGTGTGCATAGCGTCGATCACTGACGTCGCTCCATTGATAGTCACGTCCTTCTCCAGCATCACTTCGCACACGGGCGTCGTATGCACAGGCAGACCGCGAGCCAGCACCTTCTCCAGCATTTCTTTAGGCGTGAAGATACCACAGAACTGGCCACGGTTGTTCACTACCAACGCTCCTTTCTTGGTCACAGCCAGTTGCTTCGATACTTCAAACACAGACGTGTACCGCTGCACACGCGGAGGCTCCACGCCTTCTTCTTCGATCACTGTCTTGATATCCGGCGAGAACATCTTGTTGACCATTGAACCAAGCAGTTGAGAGACGCCACCGACACGCGCTCCACCGTTCACACGGCTCTTCATCTCCTTCTCCAGCGTGTGACGCAGAGCAGCAGACGATTGCTCCGACTTCTCCATCTTCCGGATCGCATCGTACAGACACTTAGCAATGTTCAGAATGCCCACAACAGGGCCATTGCGTTCGACAACCGGCAGATGACGGAACTTGCCTTCCAACATGCAAATAAGCGCGTCAATAGCTGGGTCGTCCATCGAAACAAACACCGGATTGCGCGTCATAACGTCGCCCACCAACGTCGAGTCCAGCGGCCGGTTCTCAGACACAACACGACGCGTTAGATCCGTGTCCGTGATGATACCGGCGAGCATTCCTTCCTCCGACACTACCAACACGCAGTCCATCTTGTTGCGTCCCATTATCCTCGACAGCTCCGCGACGGTGGTAGTCTCCACGACCGTCAGCACCTTCGTCGGGCGTAGTTTCGCCACTGTACGGCTCTTCTCCTCACGTTCAGCTCGTGACAATAACGTGGTGCGTTCGCGGTCGCCGGCTTCGGACGGTAAAGACGGCTGGTCTAGCTGCAACGTCGTGTTCCAGAACTCCTGCATCTGCTCGCGGTTCTCGCCGTAGATGGCATCAATGGTGCCGTAGCTGAGATCCAGCACGTCCACCATCCCGACCAGTTCGTTCGAGTCGTCCTTCAACACCGGCAGGTTCAGGATACGCGAGTCGTGCATGATGTGTAGACCATCCAGCACGGACGTAGACGGCGTGGCGATCTCCGGGTCGTTCAGCATCACTTCTTCCACGTACGTGGCCGAGGCCTTGAGTCCCTTGGCAATCACGTTTAGCACCAGTTCGTTCGGTGAGAAAACACCCACCAGCTTGTCAAAGTTGATATCGTCCACAATCAGCGCCGCCTTCTTGGTGGACGCCATGGCCTTGGCCACATCACTAACAAGCGACGACTTTGGTAGACGCGGCGCGGGCGTCGAGCCGTTCTGGGTCTCATTATCAAGAATCGATCCCAGCGTAGGCGTCGACAGCTTCTCCAGCATCGGAGCGAGCAGCTGTTGAAGTGTTGAGGACTTGCCGCTCTTCTCCAGTGACGCTTTGAGTTGATCTGTGGACTGCATCGCGTGTTCCAGACGCTTAGACACATCGTAGATGCACTTGCCAATGTTCAAAACACCGGCGATACTGCCACCGTCCACTACTGGGAGATGTCGGAAATGACCCTCCTGCATCGACAGCAACGCGTCTATAGCGCTGTCATTCGGAGACACGTACTTGATGTCTCTTGTCATCACGTTGCACACAGGCACTTCCTCGGGATTCAAGTTCAGTGCCAGCACGCGACGACAGATGTCCGTGTCTGTGAGAATACCATTCAATCCGCCAGCTTCATCCACCACAAGCAACGCGTCCGTGCGCTTCTGCTTCATCAACAACGAGGCTTCAAACACAGACGCGACCTCATCGATCGTGATCGCAGGCAGTGGACGCAAGCTGGACACTGGACGAACATTCACACCTTTATCCCGGTCCTTCTGTTGCCGAGCCTTGCTAGCGACCGACAGATTGGACGTCGATCTGCCCGACACGATGGAGTTGGTCTCGTCGTCATGATAATCGAACGCAGCGTTAAAGAACTTGCCGATGTCGCGGGATTCACCAAAAGAAGCCAAGCTGATGGACAGGACGTCTGCCACGCCCATAATTTCCCCCGAATCCGGCGCTACCACTGGCAGATTCAAAAACTTTCCGTCGTGCATGATGTGGAACGCGTCCAACACCGACGTCTCTGGCGCTGCAGATTCCGGATTAGGAGTCATGACGTCACTGACCGGCGTAGTGTTGACGTCCAGGTCTTCTGCTACCACACGGAGCAGTACATCCTTCGGCGTGAAGATACCGATGAGATCCGGCGCTTCCGGGTTGGAGGAGACCACAAGAGCGGGGCGTCTGGTCTCCGCCATGTACGTCGTGGCTTCAAATACCGTCATGTTACCATACACGAGCGGCGGCATCACTTCGCCTGGCTTGGACAAGACATCGAGTAGTGACGGGGACAGCATCTTCTCCAGCATGCCACGCAGCATCGCGTTATTGCTACTAGCACCCAGTTCCTGCTGCAGAGACGTCGACATGTTCTCCACGCGCCGAATAGCGTCATGCAGACACTTGGCCACGTTCAGAACTCCCACAATATTGCCGCTATGCGCACTCACTACGGGTAAGTGACGGAACTTGCCGCTCAGCATAATATCCATGGCGTCCACTGCACTGTCCTCCAAGCTTACACAGCTCGGATTCGGAGTCATCACCGATCCGATCGTGACTCTAGCCGGGTCCATACCCTTCGAAATCACACGCCGAGCAGCGTCTGTGTCCGAGAAAATACCAGTCAAAGCTCCTTCCCAGTTGGTCACCAACACAGCAGCCGAGCGGTGGGACTTCATCAGTCGAGCAGCCTCCAGTACAGTCGCTTCCTGGTTCACCGTGATCGCCTTGGCCGGCCGCAAGCGCGCAACAGTACGTGACGGGTCTGCATTGCTCGATTTCTTGGTCTTAGACGACGTAGACATCATGGACGAATGCGAGCGAGCGAACGAGTGGCCTGAAGTGGCCGAACTGTTGGAACCTGACCGTGCGCGACGCTCGAACGTCGGCTGCTTGATAGGCATCATCGGTGTCATCGTGTTCGATTCACCACGTCGGACACTCGGAGAAGGACCATTATAAATCGCAGGAGGACGTCTAGGCATCTGAGGAGCCGTAGGGATCTCCTGAGGCGCAACATACTCGTTCACTGGAGCAGTGGGATGTTCTTCAAATGATTGAGTTGAGGACACTGCAACCGGAGAAGCCAGCGGAGCCGGCGTTGGAGCTGGAGCTGGAGCTGGAATTGGAGCTGCTTGAACCTCTGGAGCAGGTCGTTTCTCACCAGGCAGAGCAGCAGGAGACGAGTTCGGAGCAGCTGTAGCAGCATCGCGCGAGGGGAGGATACCACTGCGATCCATGTTCGATGGAGGTGCAGGCGTAGCAGGCTGAGGCTCCGGTTCCTCGGGTGGAGGTGTCTCCTTCTTAGGTGACGGCGGCGGTGTTGGCTCTGCCGGTGGCTCCGGCTTAGGAGAAGGCGGAGGCGTTGGAGCCTTCACAGCAGCAGGGAACTTGGCACGCTTCTTCTTCAACACGTCAATGTCCTTCTGTAGCTGCGCACACTTGTCAAACTGCTTCTTCTTCATCAAGTTGTCCAGTTCCTCGTTGAGCTTCTCGATTTCGGCATCCAGTTCCTCAGGCGTCTGCTTCTTCTTACGCGCCGACACTAGAGCGTCCAGACTCACCTGAAGATCGCTACACTTGCCGAAATCCCGAGCTGCCATGGCCTCAGCAATCGTCGCTTCCATCGCATGGATACGTTCGTCCAGCTCTTCAGGTTCCAGCTCATTCAGGTCTTCCTTGACGTGTTTACGCGCTTCCTGGAGCACTTCCAGCTGCTTCTGGAGCTCCGCACACAGTCCAAACTGCTTCGATAGCGCTGCAGCCTCCATATCCTCGTTCAATTTCTTGATCTCCGCATCAATCTCCTTCGCAGTGCGAACCTTCTTCCTGGCTTCTACGATCTTCTCCAGTTCGAGCTGCAAATTGGCGCACAACTCGAACTGCTTGCTCACTGCCGCGTCTTCAATAGCCTTCTCCATCTCTGCGATCTTAGCGTCCAATTCCTTGGGCCCCATGTCTCCAAACGGATGCAGCAAGTCACGTTTGCGTACCAAATACCCACGTGCGATCTTCTGTACAGCCACAGCCTTCTCGTTCTGCATACGGTACTCGTCTCGCATCCGACGGTACTTGCTCACAGCCACACGCATACGTAGGATATACATGACACGGTACGCGCTACGACGCAAGCGCTGCAGTCGTCTCTTGGCCACAAACTGCCGCGCTTTAGTTTGTATCTTCACTGCCGCTTCAGCTCTCGCCATGTTGCGTACCCACTTCTGGATCGCACGTGCGGCCGACTTGCATCGCAACATCTCGAGTTTCCGCAGTTTAAACGCCATTGCTCGCTTCAAAAACACCTTGGTTTTACCCAATTGCCACTCCTCCTTACCAGCTCCAAGCATCGACGAGATCTCTTCGACTAGTTCCTTGATATTCTCAGCATCGGGAGCTAGCGATTGGTAGTCGTAGAAGAACACGTCGTGGTCTTCACGCAGAGCGAAGCCGCGCTGACGGATCTGGATGGCCTCCATCATACCAGAGTACTTGAGTTGACGTGCACAGTCTGCGTCATTGAGCTCGCTTGGGCGCTTGAACTCGTTCGGCTTGATACACCGCACATAGCGAGGGTTGGCCAGCGAGATCTTGTTCATCAGTTCGTGCAGTTGATGCCGGAACTGCGCACTAACCGATACCTCTCGGATGTTACGGGATTTATTGCCCTGCATGCCCTTCTTCATCTCATTAGGACGTCGAGAGATCGAGTGCTGCTGCTGCGGCTTGTTGCCTGGGATGGCCTCGATGGACTGCATGTTCAGGTCGAAGATGCCGCGCAGCCAGTCGCTCTTGGACTGTCGAATAAGCTCCTTCATGTCGTCGTTCAACGTCTCGTTGTTCTTGTCGTTGAAGCCGCTCGCGTCGTAGATGACTTCGCCGGCGTAGTGCTTGATACCGAAGTGCAGGTCCGCGTCCATCTTCGGGTGCACGTAGAACTTGTTCTTGCCGCTCGAATGGCCGCTAGATGTGCGTCCGAACGAGTTGTGCAGGTTCGACACGAACTTCTTGTTGGCTTCTTCGCCCTTCAGTCTCCAATTATCGTCCAATGAAATAAAGATACCGGGTTTGCCGTTCACCTTGCTCTCAATGAGATCCAGACACTCCTGGTTGTCCTCAAAGTCAATATGTTTCCAGTCGATCCCTTCTTTAGCGTAGTCGTTCTGCTCCACCTCCAACATGTGCTGGTTAAAGTGACGTTGCAGCTTCTCGTTAGCGTAGTTGATACACAGCTGCTCGAACGTGTTCCACTCGAACTTCTCGAAGCCGTAGATATCCAGCACTCCGATGAAGCCCCACTTGTCCTGATGGCGTGAGATCGTGCGGTTCAGCTCCGACACGAGCCACAAGAACAGCGACGAGTAGATGCCCTTGGCCAGAGCGTCACGTTTGTCGCGTACCTGCTCCGAGTTCTGCTGCTGTACGATCACCTTGCCTCCAACGTACAGCTGGCGAGTTAGCAGCGCCTTGGACAGCGCGTCTTCGCTCACTTTAAGCAAATTTGCCACTAGTTTCATCCCATTGGCTGAAATGTCCCCTACAGTCACACAAGTGTCATTTTCCATTGCAAATTGCAAGTTGCCAAGGTGCAACACGGCTGCAAGGAGCTCAAAGACCATTTCCTGTCGGTCTTCGGTGATGCCGATGGTTTCCAAGCAGCGCTTGGTCGTGGCAAACTCCTTGGCGTCGTCGCAAGAGTGAATGTTGAAACATTCACTCTTGCGCAGATATTCGTAGTCATGGGGCGTTTGCAGCTGCAGCCTTTCCCTGAGCGCGTTGTCCGCGCCGGCGAGTAATTGGTAGAAGATGTGGTAGTTCCGCTCGCCAAGACTTTGGGACACAATGCGTGTCTTTTCCAGCAGAAAATTGAGAATTTGAGCTCCCACAATCTTGCCGTGGTGGTTAAATTGGATCTCGATAAACTTGCCAAAGCGACTGGAATTGTCGTTGCGCAACGTTTTGGCATTGCCAAAGGACTCGAGCAGTGGGTTACTCTCCAACACGCGCTCCTCGAGCTTGCCCAGAGCGCCGGACATGCCTTCCAGAGGCGCAGGAGGCGGTCCTTCGCCCTCTGGACCCTTGCGGTAGCTTGTGGCTCGAGCCAGGTATTGCATGATGATCTTCGTGGTCTCTGTCTTGCCCGAGCCGCTCTCTCCACTGATAATGATGCTCTGATTGGCTGGATCTAGTGCACCGCCCTGGATGAGCTGCGTGTAGGCGTGGTCGGCCAATGCGAAGACGTGCGGAGGTAGTGCCCCCATAGCCTTCCCATAGTATTCGGTCATGTGGCGCTCACTATAGACGTCCAACTGCTTGTACGGGTTGATGGCAATGACGATGGGCCCCACGTACGTGTAGATGAGCTCGTGCTCGTAGCGTTTGCGCAGGTTCTCGAGCAGCGACTGCTCTGACAAGTCCGGCATGTGCAGAATGTCCTCGAACGTGTTGCCATTGGGCGACGAGTCCGAGTCCTGCATCTTCTTCTTCATCTTGGCGCGCAGAAGCCGCTCCTTGCGGGTGCCCCCGCCGCGTCGCTCCATGGCTTCGAGTTAGTGATGAGCGCCCACTGCGCTATCAGTTTGCCGATCTGCGTGTGGGGGCCACTCGACCCGACCGCACGCCGAGAGGATGGCTAATAAAACCTCGGAAAGGGACGACAAACAAAAACCTGAGTTTAGTGTCATAGTTGTGTTTTCGGATAAGAACATGGAGTGATTGTAAAATGAGTTGATGACCGCGGCGCTGAGCTATTCTTAAAGGAAAAGAGGAATAGATTCCTGAATCTGCATGTGTGACTGCGGAGACTGAGCAGACGATGTTGTGGAGCTGTAAGGTTGTAGCTCGTCGTATTAGTAGCGGTGTGTTTTGTCTGACGTACTCTATCTATCTGAGTTGGCACTATTGGGAGAAGTCACTAAAGACGTGAACAACGAACGGCAACTTTCGAGGTTATTTGCAAACGAACGTGTTTATCGATTTTATAATTTTGTCCTACAATAACGATTGTTTTTAGTGATAATCCCCTGAAAAGTGATAATACCCCGTATAAGAATTTGCTGTCGAGCGGCATTTGAAACAGTTCGTTAAGCCAAGAGTTTCGCCAACAATGTGCAGCTCTTGTAGCTTCAGTAGTAGCTGTCACGGCTAATAACCTTCCATCAGGCTGCTCACCCTGATTCACGAATCAGCTGCCCACCACTCGCCCTGTCATGCTACCAATGCTACAAACTCATTCAACAATTACGCATGCCTGTTCCCGTATTTTGTCACTGTCAGCAAGAAATGCTCAAAGCCGCTCGACCAAGAATACCCTATCCGTTCAGAACACTTCACAACATGAAACACGCACACACAAGGAACCGCACAGCAGCTATACGAGCTTCGTTTGCTGGTATAGCTGCTGTGCGACCGCCTAATACAAACTAGCGCACGATCGACGCCCGCGATCGTCGTTCGCACAACATGCATGTACTCAAAGAACCAAACCCCTGAACAGGAATACATGCCTTCCCTGAGGACGGTCCGACTGCAGAAAAACACGCAGTCACCACCACCAAGCATCTTTGGGCAGCATGACATGACATGACATGCAAATTGTATCCATCATGTCGAGACCATCAGCGCCCTCGTCGGCATCTTGTCTCTACCGCCGACCTTGTGTCCTTCAACTTGCCTCCCAGATGGCTCCGACCAGCGTTGCACCAGCACCACACGATAACCGCGCGGCTCCGACCGCAGAATCCCACCGAAGCAAGCTGATCCCGACGGGAAGGCATTGATGATCATTCTCAAGCTCTCAATGAGACTTTCAACTGTTTCCAGCTGATGGCACCGACGAATGTGTTCCCATTCTTAGTTGATATCCGCAAATTGAACAAGATCACAAAAAAAAATCAGGAAAAAAAAACAAAAACTGAGCCCAAAAACTGTGCGATGCAACAACAGGCGCAACTCGCACAAGCAACTTGATGCAAGACAACAACATCGTCCTCTTGCTTGCTGCGTCGCGACCACTAAGAAGGAAAAGTGTATTCGTCTCGTACAGCCCACCGCATTCCTCTCCACAGTTTAACCTTGCGGCGCTCCTACTAACGAGCAGCTCGCTCGCATACGCTACCTCAGCTCTTTGTCCATTCTGCTCTAGTCGACCTTGATGGACGCGTAGATCTTGCGCGTGAACCACAGCGAGGCACCGACGCCCACTGCGCCCGTCAGCAGCGCCAGCGCGCCCGAGATGACCGCCATGTAGCCGAAGTAGAGCATAGCGCCGATGAAGTTCGCCACGTCCAGACGCGTCCAGTAGTAGTACGTCGAGTACAGGAACACGTAGGCTCCGCATGCACCCGACACGAAGAACGACCGCCACCACCTGCACACACGTCCAAACGTTAGAAATTGCAAACATTTATCACCAAGACGCCGCTCCAACGCACCAGTTGTAGTCTTCCGAGCAGAGCTGGAAGTAGGTGAGCACGATCGTGATCTCAGCGCACGTGTTGATAAGGATAAGGAAGGCCAGCAGCAGGAAGCCGAACACGTAGTAGTACTTGTCCGTCCACAGCGCCGACAGCACGAAGAAGAGCTCGACAAAGATGGCACCGAAGGGCAACACGCCGCCCACTGCCGCCGCCGACATGTGCGTCATGTACCACGGCTGAGGAGGAACCGGACGCGGGATGTTACTCGTGGCCACGGGGAACGTAATAGGTGCTTTCCTACAAGTGAAAAACATCATTAGCAACTCTACCAGCCTCAAAATCCATCATACACACACACCTGAAGCCGAAATAGGCGCCTGCGAACACCAGCGGCACCGAGATGCCCGTCCAGAGGAAGAAAACCAGTAGAATCGAGCCGAACGGCACCGCAGCGTCCGAGCCAGCGCCCCACACGAACAGGTTGAGGAAGAAGAAGAGCGAGAACATGATCCCGGGGAACAGCACAGCCGTGAGCACCGTGCACATCTGCCAGCGTTTGCCCTTGAACATCTTGTACGTACGCGCCGACGTGAAACCGGCCAGCATACCCAGCAGCACGAAGCACACCAGCAGTGCGATCACCAGTTTGCCGCGGTTCGACGGCGCCAGGACGCCCACAGCAGCGAAGAACAGTGTCACGAACGCCATGCCCAGCAGCTGGCAGCCCGTGCCCACCATAACACAGAACAGCATCGGGTTCTTCGAGGGCGGACGGAACACGTCGGCATGCACGAGCTTCCATCCAGACTCCTCACGCTCCTCAGCACGCTCTTCTTCGGTCGGCACGCGGTTGTAGCGACTGATATCGCGGTGGAGACTGCGCATGAGAATCATCCCCACCATTCCACTTAGGAACAGCACGATCACAAGAGCGTTGATGATAGAGAACCAGTGGACTTCATCGCCTCCTGAGCCAGCGTCAAAGTAGACGTCCCATCGAGTACGCCAGTCGTGCTCGTTGTCCTGTACCCACTCGATACTGTAGGTCCAGTACACGGGCATCTTGCCGTCCTTGTTCTTGCGGACGTATAGCGGACGCTTGAGGTCGCTCGAGTGTTCACAGAAATCCATGCGGTTGTTGGTCTCGTCGTAGCCTCTGGCCGCGTACTCGAAGCTGTACGGGATGACCTTGAAGTCCACAATGCGTCCCTCATCTTCAGACGACTCGGCACCGCCTATCGGGTTGTTATTGTAGCCAACGAGGATCTTGACGTGGTTATTGAGCTGCGGCACCACTTCCACTTCGGGATTGAAGCTTCCTAGAGGGAAACCCACCGTCATACCGCCCTCGGACGACACGGAAGTGGCCGGGAGGTTGTCCAGGATCCAGTTGACGCGGTACGAGTCCTTGATCTTGTTCTCCCACACCTTGACATCCTTCTCCTCGTACTCCTGCTTACACAGCACAGTACACTCCTGTCCCTCCAGGAATTTAATCTCGTACGGGGAGTTCTGGATGCGGTTAGCCGTCAGATACTCGCCCAAGTTCTCCGACTTGTACTCAATTTTCTCCGGCTAGGCAGAATAAGAACTCAATTAGTGACATATTGCCTAGAATTACAAAACGCCTAGAATTAGGTACCTGGCAAAAAGGCAACTTGTAGTAGTCCATAGGCAACAGCGTCTCCGCCGACTTTAGGCTATTGACGAAGATGGGCAGCGTCTCGCCCTTGGTGTACGTCGTCATCTGTACACCCGGCAACGAGAAGCCGTCGATCCCCGAGGCTGACAGCACAGTCGCCGCCAGCGCCACCAGCAGCGACTTGCTCGGTCCACACGCGCGCATAGTTTCGGTGCTCCCTCCTGGTTCTGCTTGGCTCGCTCGTTAGGGAACTGGGCCGCCCCTTCCAGCTCTTCCTACAATATCAAGTCCCTGTGAAAACCGATCGGAAATAAAGGAATGTTCCTACGACGAAACGATATCAACTGTAGCCATTTTTTCCAAGTGTAGGTTCAGTTGCCCTTGGTTGTCCCCAGGCATTTTTTATTTGCCTACTGTAGCCATCTACAATTCGTCGCCTTCCCACTCATCGCTGTCAAGTTGCTCCAGTCGGCGAGTATCGAGTTCCTCTCCTTCCCATCCGTCACCTTCGTACACGTCCTTGTCCACGACATAGTCGCCTGCCAGTTCGCAGCCCGTGTGCACAGCGGTACCGGCTTCTAGATACTGCACACCTTCGGGAGAAATGCCATTGATAAGCACATCGCCGACCTTCGTGGCACGAACAGGGTGTGTCGAAGCGCACGAGCAGCCGTCCACGTCGCAGTCGCGGATCTCGTCCTCGTCCATAATCTCGTCGTTGAATAGCGCGAGCTGAAGTCGCACCTGCCCCACGATCGTGTCGTCCGCTTCGATGGGGTAGCTCTTGTCCTCGAAATTGCGGCCGATCAGCATCTCTACCTTCAAGCACAGCTCTCCAATAAGCGTACTACACGCACACAAACAGCAAAAGTTAGAGCACTGGGCAGAATAGAGTGCGTTGTCCTCACTTACTCCTTCACAGTGTTGTCGTTCATGACCCGAATCACGAGGAAGTCGTGCTCTATGCATCTCACGCTAACCGCGATAGCCTCGATCCAGCGCGGGTTCTTTCCTGCAAATTCCACACAAACACTTAGCAACCTCAACCTTACTATCACCATCGAGTGTATGTACCTCCATTGTCATGGGTTTTCGTTCTATACACCAGGTCCTTTGCTGAAGGAACGCGACTGCGACCAAGGTACACTTCGCAGAATGGGTCTTGAGTGCCGAACGACTGGATATCGCGCAGTTTGCTACCCGAGATCAGACCCAGGTAGAGTTTGGTCTTGCCGGGAATGAAGTGCTGCGGATATTCGCCAAATTTCACGCGAGGCTGTGATGTCGGGTTTTCTAGCGAAGAAAATCGTCGTCAGTCTCGATCCGAGCAAATCCACAACGAAACGATGCACATCAACGCACCGTGACCCAGTGACAGATACATCAGCACCTTCAAATAGCCCGTGGGGGTCAACGCGAACTCCTTCTCCATGGATCGTCCTCGGGACAAGTCTCGCATCGCCAACGCGATCTCTCCGATCACCGTGCTGCACAAAATGACACGTCAGCTTATTCTACTCCATGTTTGCATTGACAAAATGCGCCACTCACTTCTTCCCCCAGTTGTTGTTCTTGATACGGAAGCGCACGATATCCGACGAGATGTCGGGGATCAAAATGTGGCCCTTTGCATTCCACATCGGTTGCGTCCCTGCCAATTGCCAATTGGCAGCGTTAGTATCCAAAGCAACCATCATTCTGTTGCAAATACCAACCTCCGTTGTCGTGCGTGTCCGTCTTAAACGCTGCCTTCTCCTGTTCCTTCCCTCCCGTCGTCAGGTACACACTGCAGTAGGGGTCCTGCTCTCCCAGAGTCTGCACCCTCTTAAGGTCGCGCGCTGAGAGGATCGTCAGGTACAAGATTGCGTCATTGCGCAGTGCCGTGGGTGCTCCCGCTACGCTGCTGCTAATGGACGAGCGGTGGCTTATGGACGACCGACTGCGGCTCATGATGCCCTTCTCGCGGTAGGTGAATAGTCGAGCGTGTGTTCGAATGTGACTTGCCTCGACGCAATTCTGCACCCAAGTGTGTGACGCACACAAAACTCGTGAGAATCCAAGCATACTGAAGCCAAGTCCAACCTGATTCTGAGACGGATATCCAGTGGAAAGGCAGAGGGCTAAAGTTACTGTAGCCACTTGGGCCAAATTACACTTGAGCAATGTATGTTTATGACCTACCAGCAACCAAAACGATGATGACCGCGAAAATCGACCAAGGTAAGTCTACGTAGATAGATCAACAGCTTGCTGGTGATGCCAACAGTGCTCTTCATTTGAGCACTTTGGCCATCTAAGTGACAAGCCGATCAGGTCGCTGGGTACCGCCATCTCCGCGCATCGACCGAGTTTACGAGTTATTTACAGCGATATTCGCGGTATTCGGCAGTGCCATCAACATGAAAAAGCGTAAGACGAATGTGGAGAGTTAACAAAAGGTTTAATAAGGAAAGGCAAAAATGCATTTGTGAGAAATGATGAGCGTTACTCAAAACACACACTCAACTCGCACTGATGCTAGCAAACTTTTTGCAGATGCCGTCTAGTTCAGGAGGGCAACCACGAAGGCCGACGCCACAAGGGCGATCGAGGTGGCCACCGAGGAGGCGTCGCTAGAGGACGAGTCGCTGCTTTTCTTCTTCTTGCCGGTGCCGCTGGAGCTCGAGTCCACCTTACGCGTGCACTGGTCGCCAGCGTAGCCGTCTTCGCATTCGCACACGTTGCCACTGCCCGAGGACGAAGCCATGCCCACAGTCTCCATGAGGAAGCGAGCAGCCGAGCTGTCCGAGCCAGCAGCGTCCACCGTGCCGGCGGTTGTCATCGAGCCCGTGGTGGAACCAGAGGTGGTAGCAGAGCCAGCGGACGAGCTGGTAGCAGCAACGCACGTACCGTGGCCGTTGCAAGCCTTGGACGACGTGGGATCGCAGTAGGCGCACTGGTCACCAGTGGTGCCTTCGTCACACTCGCACTCCTGAGTAGTGAGGTTGCACGTGCCGGCCTGGCACTGGGACTCGAGCGTGCACTTGTTCGACTCGACCTTCTGGCAATACGTGCCGTTGTAGCCGACGTTGCACTCGCACATGTACTGCATGGAGCCCGACGACGAAGGGGAGCACGTGCCGCGGCCCGAGCACACAACGTCCGAGTCTTCGGCGTTATTAGGGTTCACGCAGCCTTCGTTGATGACGGCCGTGTAGTTCATCTGCTCCGACAGGTCCCAGTTGTCCGAGTCCTCCTCGAACAGGAGGTTGGTGCCGTCAAAGTCGACGCAGCCGTAGATCACACCCACAGTCTCGGCGGTTGAGCCAGAGCCCTCAGTGATGTCCATGCACGACACGTAGCCGGCAGTGTCCGAGCCCGAGAAAGAGCCGTTCAGGCACTGGTCCGTGCCCGAAGGCAGCTGGTAGGCGCAGACGCTGCTAATGGACTGGAAGGCCGTCTTCCACGTCGAGAAAGACGGGCACAGTCCGGGGAACGTGCCGGAGCACACATCGCCCTCCTGCTGGTACGGCAGGCACTGCTTGACGTCCTCGATGCCCGAGCGCGTGGTCTGCACACTGATGCACACGTAGTTGTCCTCGCACGACTTGTCGTCCTTGCAGTAGCCAGGCTGGCCCGAGCCGGACTCGGCCTTGACAGCCGCAAACATGGCCGCGATGGCCGCAATGTACGCCGCCGACTGCATTCTTGTCTACGCCGGAGAGTGAGAGAGCGGAGGAGAAGGTCTCTTTGACAGGAAAAGAGGGAATGGCGCACACGCTGCAAAGGCGCCCAGCATCGGGAGAAGGGAGAGGGCGGGATTCGTCGTCGCGTTGTGGTACTGAGCTCTGACTGGTGTTTTGTATGTGGGAGGAAATTTCCGAATTTTCTTCCGAAGCCGTGTTCAAACAGCTGGCGTGCCAGCAACTTTGCACCAATCGCAATGTGGATTCGCACGCTTTTCAACCAATCTTCGAGGCAGAAAGGCGAATCAGAAAAAGTAACTGATCCGGTGTTGCCGAGAGTAACTGAAAGTTGAGCTTAGTCGCCGCTACGTATTCGCCTCGTAACGAGGCTTGTATCTCTCGTTCGCCAGTGTAAACGCGTGCCTTTCGCCGCCTGCCGGTGGCTATATCGAGGGGCTTGCTGAGGCTGGGCTTTGGTGAGGAAAGCAGACAGGCACTCACCGCATCCGTGTTTGATGCGCTTCAGTGCATGGACTCGTCTTCACCAAGGTGTAGGTGACATGAAGATTACTCACGATTTGTCTCGTTATCTAAATTTCAGGAAAAAAAGTGTGTCGCCACTTCAAGTGACCCAAACACCTGATTGCCTTGCTATACTACACTATATGTGCCTGCAATGCATGTATTAGAGTCTGCTGGTACTGTAGTTGACGACTACTAACGTTAGTCGCACCAGACTGAGCATCCGCGGGCTGGAGTGGTGATACGTTATTACACAGCCTCATGTTTTGCTGACGAGGATAGTCATCGCTCTGCTGGACTGATGCTCCGAAGGCTTCCAGCCGAGGTATCCCTTGTCTAATCGAGATTCAAACGGAAGTATCTTCTCGTATGAGCCAACCAGGGCCGGGTTCATGTCGTATTAGCTATACGTTCGTTAGCTCGATCGCTCACCAAGATCGCGTTCACATGGGTTAGGAATTTTTTAGGCGACGAATTCGCTTGCCATGGGGCGCGATCGATGCCGCGAAAATGAGCGCCGACTCATCTTGCCATCAAGCTATGATAACACCAGATGTGCAGTGTGGCAAGCAGAGCTCCTCGGTGTGTACATGTACATCGTCATTGAAGGAGTGCTCTTGAGTCAGTCGCGTCGTCGCTACAATTGTCAACCTTTGCGTGGTGGTGTCGTAGAGATCAAGGTTTGATGGTAGATTTGTTTTACGGTTTGATCGGAGGTGACGCCTCGGACGGCCATGAACCCGCACACATGTACGTAGCAGCTGCAGCAGGATTGAACTTGCCGTCTTGTTGCTTCAGAGGGGCTGCAGATGAGGACTATAGAGTATTGGAGTACACACTCGCTGTTTTCGCCTTGAAGTGCGAGTGAACACGATTTATCCAGCTCAATAGCACAAGTGTGTGGACTAATCAGCAGTCTTCAAACCTCGTCTTTCTGTTACTCGGCGTCCTCCTTCATCAATAAATTATTAAATCTGTTCAACAGCTTCAATCCTCCACCATGTGAGCATACTGGGCAAACGACATGAAGATATTCGAGAGTCCGATTCGTCTCCTGCATCTTCAACAGAGCAGCATAGCACTCATCATAAGAACCGTACCCAACCTTTTGGCCAACCGTACTCGCATTCGTCGAGCACATCTGGCTAACGGGTTTTCAATGCCACATAGCGCTCCAGCGATCCCAATAATATTCCATGTTAACGATAGATGCGAGGAGGAGTTGAGCACTAAACCTCGATAGTTGCTGTCGCGGAGGCAAAAGAGCATTTCAAATGGTACAAGTGCATAATATGCCATATTATGGCTAACTCGATCAGATTTTGGACCTCGCTTATGTTGAGCCTCTCAAACTCGAGTACTAAATGTGTAAACGAAGTTCCAACAAGTAATAGCAGACCTTTCTGGGTCGGGATCTGTACCGAACTCGCTTGGAAGAGATGTTACACCACCAAATCTATTGGGTTGAAGCGGGAGTTCTCTGTAGATCAAGCTTCCGCGCTCCACCTCGCATCTTCCGAATGCAGGAATCAACACATCAATCCAATAACTTGCATCGACTACACTTAGCAGGCTCACTGCCGAAATCTCTCTTTTCAACAGAGCCACTTGGGGGTATGGGCAACAACTATATCGTTGACTCCGTCTTAATGTAAATATCAATTGGTGCATCATTTAAATGCCTTGGTAAGCCGAGCAGACCATCTTCTGGTGTATCTGACGCCAGTACTGCAGTCATAGCTTCCACAACCTCGGTAGTAGTCACGACATTGCAAAGAGCGAGACTCTCAAGCCGAGAGTGAAGTCGAGCTTTCTTCGAGAAACAGACAAAGACAATTTACTGCCACATCCAACGATAAAGGCCCCGGTCGCAGTCTCCATCCCTCACCACCGTCACAGTCAGCATTATTGTTCAAGTTCAGTACTTAGCCAACACCATTTCCAAGTGCTGCTGTCCTCTTCGTGCCTCCAAACAAACCAAACAACAGCTTCCCAACAGTTTCCCCAGCTTCCTCTAAATTTTTATCCGACGTATACGGGTAACTAAGTTCGTTATCCAACTCGAGTGAGAGTCAAATGTCATCGGTGGCCAAACTCTCAACAAGTCCCGCCTTCACGGATTCCAACACAAATACAACCATCAGTCGAGTCTCCCCCCGGTTAGTGTATTGTTGCCACAGAGCCCGAACTGTCCTAACGATCTCCTGCGATCTTCGAAGATATACCAGCATCCCGTCGCAACGTGTAGTGCTTTTTACCACCTGCATTGTCACTGCGACCTTTATCTCCATCCATCACGGTTCACAGCTCCAATCGTGTCCAGTGCAGCTTTGGAGTAGAATACTATCCCAATCTACAATAGGTCAGATTGCCATTCAAGAACTCGCTAATACCGATATATATTCCGATCGACTGCGATATAATCTCTGCCAACTGAAATTGAGGCACGAACTCCTCGATTCCACTCCCCTCAAATTGTTTCTCTTGATTCTTCACCGCCAGCTTTCTGTTCTCAGCGTTGTCGACGTGCGCTGCTGCCGTAAGCATCCCCAGCGCTTATGGTACATTTTCTATCGTTATCATAACCCACATAGCGGTCGAAACGTGGCTGAATGCCACGTCTGGTACAAAGACTGCAACTTTATTTTGTTTCTGTGTGAAAAGTGCTTTCTTAAACAAAAGCGAAAAAGAGATTTTAAAAATCCTCTCATTAGTAATATTTGTTACATTCGCTAAATCGAGGAAGTTCATTCTTGTCATTTTTAACCGAATATTACATTTTTCTCAATAAAAAAACTGATTAGCACAGGCAAGATGTCGTCCTCCTCCTCCACCGACGTGGTGCTCAAGAACCCTCCGTGCTTCCGCACTGGTCTCATGTGGGGCATTGCCGTGGCCAGTGTCATCGGTGCGCACCGTTTCCGTACCTGCAGACGCATCCGTTCGTCCTGCGACTGGGCCATAGGCGCGTTCGGAGTCGTCGGCGGTGGCACCTGGTATTTTACCTGAAGAAGTCTCACATAACCTCCAAGTCCTTTAACTCACCGTACACGTATCTAATGTTGTTGCAGGTTATTCTGCACTACTGCGTACCGTCTCCGAGCACGTCAAACTCGGGAATTCATGGAGGTCATGAACAATCCGGAGCGCAAAGCCGAGGCCGAACAGTTCCTGCGCTCTCGAGTGGAGACTCGATCATCAGACCAAGAGCAGCAGTAGAACGCCGGTACATCAATAGAAAGGATTGTGCTGCGAGTTGTTAATATTTGGTGTCAACCATCCGCTACAATCGGGTTAAATATCGGATTGGGTGCTCTTGCTGGCCGTGCGTGACTACCCCCTTATCGGTAGCATTCCCTGGTCACTTCGCTCAATATTTTAGTTATGATATCGGCGAAGAGAGATGCGAGAACAGCGAGCGAATCTCTACTGAATGACGCAGTTTTCCTTGTTGCGTCGGCCAGCCAGCGTCTTCTCCCGGTCCATCAATATTTTTTGTGTGAGAGTGGCTGCAGAGAATTTCATAAAGTTAGAAAAAAAAACTCTAATGGGCCTGAACATCAAAAGAATGCACTTACGGTTAACGCTGATCATGTAAGCATCGCGCGCAATAGTTTCGAGCGCGCCGTTCGTGTTTTCTGACGTCTTGGCACTCGTTTCTGCGATAAACCAGGGAAAAGGATCAAGTTAGACCGGATCAGGAAAATAATAATAACGCATTTCATCGACATACCAATAAATCGGCAGCCATACTGGCTCGCTGCTGCTTGACCTTCCTCCAACGTCACTACGCGGTTTGGTAGATCGATCTTGTTTCCTACGAGCAGCATGGCAGGCATCTGCGTCGGAGCCGAGTACTGTCGAATGTTGTTCATCCAGTAGCCAACATCTGCATCACACAATTACGATCAGTCTAAATCACCCCGAAAAGGTCTTCACAAGTCTATCCAGTCACGTACTGTCGAAGCTGCGTCTATCGCTGACATCGTACACGAGGACAATGCCGTTTGCGCCCTTGTAATATGCTGCAAAATGCCAACACAAAACCGCCCAAGTATTAGAAAACTTAAGTCAACTCAATATCAACTTCAAGGCCATCAAACGTACTGGCAGTGATGCGATGAAAGCGCTCTTGGCCTGCGGTATCCCAGATCTGGAGAGTAATCGCTTCGTCCGCAACGTTAATATGTCGGAGCTTGAAGTCCACACTGAACAAGATTAAATAAAAAAAAGGTTAAATGCGTCCATCGGGTTCATATCTTCATATCAACATCAATACATACCCAGCGGTGGCCAGCATCGACTCGGAGAACTCGTCACCGGAGAATACACGCATCAAACTGGTTTTACCGACACCTGTTGCGTTTTAAACCCATAAAAACACGGTCAGTATCTCACAAAACTCCACACCCACGTCGAAAAAATAACGTACCGCTATCTCCAAGCAGCAAAAGCTTCAATTTATGCCTCTTCTTCGGAGCCACGGGGACTGAATCTGCTGTAACCTCGTTCGTCAGCTTCTCTGCTCCTGTCGTTCTGTGTCCAACATTTCTTGCCGCTTCCAACTTGGCCCCCTCTTCCGAGTTCCCCAGCAATCTCGATGTGCTCTTGAACATTTTGTTTCTAAACAACGAGGCTCTTACACTGAGTGACCTCCTGGATGAGAGCTTCTCCGCCTTAAGCTTATGGTCCTCCTCCTCCTCCATCTTCTTCTCCTCCAGTTGCTCCTCCGTGAGCTGCTCGTCTCCGTATCCAGACGGAGGCATGGGACTATTGTCCACGGACAGCTGCAATCCCTCGGACAGAGCGTCCAACGCTGCAGCGGACAGCGCGCCAGTGGGCTGGACTACCTCCACTTTCTTAACGCCCACAATTTTACTATCATCCTGCAGCTTGGACACGTCCACAGGGGCCGATCCCGCCAGGTAGATCTTAGACAGCGATGCAGCCCGCTTAGCCATACTCTCGGCGTCCTCCTCTGTCTCTGTATCGTGTCTCACGAGGTTTCTGGGCGGCTCCAGGGCCGAGAACGAGCAACTACGCCTCCTGGCTCGCGCGGCGTCGTCCTCGCTCACTCCAACCTCGCGTGAGCTAAAGCAACGCGCTCTAGAACGTCTGTCGGCGTCCTCCGCGCTCTGTGGAACCGGTAGATCGTCGGGAAGCGCCGTGCCGCGTCTCCTGCGGTCGCTTCCTTCCGTCTCGTCCTCGTCGTCCGCGAGGATGGAGCGACTGCGCGTGCGGCCGCGGCCCTGCACGGCCAGCTCCATCTCGCGCTCCCAGGCCAGCTGCGCCTCGGCTTCGGCCTGCTCCGCCGCCGTCTGCGTGGCGGTGACTGTACTCATCATAAGAGTTGGGGGGTATACTGCCTTCACGCTCCTGAAGGGTAAGAATTGGCTTGTGGCTTCTTCCAAAGAGGGGGAGACAAGCTGGCCGATCAGGTTCAAAAAGAGTGAGTATTGCTCGAAACAGAAACAGTATGGAGAAATGCACTGTTTAATACGGGACTGAGATGTTTTTCTACCAATCATAGATCAGAAACTGTCAGATAGCATACAGGTGGGATTTGATAGGCAGCGTGTGTAATGGTCGAAACATGGTAACCGAAAAGCCAATCCGAGGGCAACACTGTGCATGTCCAACGACTCATAAACGCACCAAGCTTGTCAAAGCAAACGAGTTGCCAGCAAGGAATCATACTGCGTGATATATATCGATTCCGTCGGTTGCGAATGAGCTGGATGGAGGTGACGAACAACAATTTGACTTGACTTTTGATGGGTAGGAAGTGCAAAGGTATCGAGGGCAAGTGCCGACGTAAACAGCAGCGAAAAAAATCCTTTCCCGTCCTGGCACATCGATGACGATGGCGTTGAACCCACGGTCCACATCCTTGTCCTGGGAGTGAGCACTTTTCACTTTTCGAGATCTTTTCGCGCCGGACGACGTGTCAAATATCCATGCCTTCAACTCTTGTCTTTGTAGAGATGGCTCAACGCCACGACCGACGTGGCAAGCCTAGGGGACTCGGAGGCTGACCTCATTACTGTGTATTTCGCTGTCCTTGTCTGCTGTCTCGTTGGTGGTCTGGAGTCAACAAGGCAGTAACGGCGTTTCGCACAGACAGGATTTCTCTAAGGTGGGACCATTACAGCCCGTGAGCACGAACAGCTTGATCTCATTTCTTTAATGGCGCCCCTCTCTATATAATAGCGATACTTTATCACGTTACAGTGTTGATAGGTATTTCACGCTGTTGCTCTCCCCCACGACGAGGATGTCTTAGCCTATAGGGCTCATGTGGTTCTCGCTGCACCTAAAAAATCGTGGAAAGTCTAGCTGCGATATCGACATCAACATCACCGTCACCACACAAGCAGTGCCCACGATCAAGCTTAGGATTGGACAATCTGCTTCGTCGCATACATGTACTATGCCAGGAAAAGCAACGTTCGCCGCGACGGTGTCGTCTCCACTCAAGGGTAAAATCTTCATTCATTACGTTTCTCCTAGGGCTACATTCCTAACTACATGTACATCGATATCCAGTACAATGCTCAACTGTAGTACATTATGAATAGATAGTTTAAAACCTACCTGAAACGTGGAACGTATAAACTACTCCATCACACATTGAAGCGGTGCAAGCTGAAGTTTTGTTGTCCTGAGCTTCCCGATACTTATCAGTGATCGTCCTGCAGGAAGCCTCTTTCGGACAGTTCTTGGTTTATCTCCTGTTGAGTCTGGAGGTGGCCTCCGTGGTTGAGATCACAACAAAAATCAACCTTCGACTCACGTTGGGCTACTCAAATTGACCGGTAATAGCGTTGAGTATCGAATAATCACTTTCTCGGAAGTAAGTCCTGCAAGATGCATGTGGAGTAGCAAATTCGAAAATGCGCACAAGTGCATGTTGGTCGAGTACAGGCGTTTCCTGTATCCCCCCCCCCCCAATAAACGCAGTTTTGCCCATTGGAAAGCTTCAAAGTGGTGTGTCTTGAAGTCGCTCAAATACATCGTGTTAGACAATTGGTCAATATACTCGAGTGTGCGATTCTTCTCCAGAGAGCAGCGTAACACTCATCGTACGGATGATAGACTGCACTCGCACACGTCGCGTACACTTGGCTAACGGGGTTTCAATTTCGCAAAACGCCTCAGCGATGTCTACGATGTCCCTGGTAAAACAACAATCGATGAGGAGTCGAGCGACAAGTCCCGGTGGTTGCTGTCGCGGAGGTAAAGCTCGCAACATGCTCTGCCGATACAGTGTTGGGGATGTTGATGCCTCATAGATCTGCCATCATAAATTGCAGCACAAACACAACTCTCAGTTAGGTCTTCTGCCGGTCTGTGTATTGTTGCCTTTGCGTCCGAACCGTCCTGACTGGCTCCTGCATGTTGCGAAGATATGCCATATTTCGTCGCTACTATTTGTGAACTACGTCCCAATCTCTGCCGTCACTGGGACTCACTGACCTTGATCTCCGTCGACAATTTCTCGTCGTTCATAGCTGAAAATTCTATCCAGCGCAGCTTTGCAAGCTGCGGTTTGAGCGGTGTACTACTCCGTCCCACAAAACCCCATAATAATGATACCTTTCAAGAGTTTTGAAAAACTCTATCCAGTCCGACATCGAGCAGTCCCAAAGGAAATCGTTGAACTCCCCTTCAAACTCCCTTCTCGAGTAACCACTTCCAGTTTTCCATTCTCCACGAGTAAATTCATGTATGTTACGTTGTCGGCGTGCGCTGGTGCTGCTAACACCCCCGCGCTTCTCGTAAATCTTGGCGTGGAGATGTTCAGTCGTTCTCGTCCTCTTCTTCGTCACTGTGAGGCTCGAATCGTGGTAACTCCACCTCAATGCCGCGAAAGAGATGTTCAGACACATGCTCAAGAACTCTCATATCGCACCGCAAACCAGCACAGGAAGTCCCAACTCCTTCATTCCTCTGTCAACTACCATTTACTAGTAAAATTAATTTCTTCCGCAATTAATTTAAGTTTGGGATTTACAGTCATCACAATAGTTTTATTTAAATATAAAAAATAATGTCATTAATTTCCATTGAAATGTACTTTTAAATTTGGTCAAGTGCTAGCCAAATATTTAAGTTTGATTTTGCGAACTTAACAGTTTAATTTCAAATTTCTTGGTACAGATGTAGAGATCAATTTTTATTTGACAAGGAAAATACATCTAAGAAGAGCAGAGTTGTATTCAATGAATTGTGGGTATGCTGTTATGCAACCAAGCAGAGATGCCGCCCATGATAAACGTAGGACACGGTAATGATCTTAATGAACTCCAGTGACGGACTTAATCCATTCAATAGCAGTCGACACACGCGAAAACACGTTAGGAGTTCCAGTGGCATCGCAGTTGGACTCCCGATTCACCAAACCAATGAGGACGTCATCCACGTCTCCCTGGCCATTATCTTTTACCAATGGGCTGCCCATACCGCCAATGCACGAGTCCTTGCTAGCAGCACACACGGACGAGTTGTCCACACTGAAAGACGCCTCGCATTCCTCGTTGCCCATCAACTCCATGACGATATTCTGGAACTGGTGGGTTTTGTCATTCCAGCTCATGGCATTAGCCTGCATGTTCGGAGTAATGTCAGAGTCGTCCGCCTTAGGAAGAATGAGTGGGGTGATGCCACTGGGCTTCACGAGCGTCAGCAAAGCAAAGTCGTACGAGCCGGTACTGAAGTTGTAGTTCGTGTGGTTCTCAGCATGATCAACCTCGATCTGCTCGCCATCCTCCGTGCCGCTGTTGAAGTGCGAACCCACTGACACGAACCTGGCCTCCTGCAGACTGGTGCAGTGTGCAGTGGTAAGCACGTGGGTGGGCGTGATGAGGACACCACCGCAGAAATTGGTGCCATCAGGTGTGAGGCGAACGCCGGTTGTGTACGCCTTCGTTACAGCAGGGGCCTCTCCTTGACCGACGATAAACTGACATTCGACGGCAGTGTCGGCAGCGACAACTCCAAGTGCAATTGAGGCAGCAGCAAGCGTGGAAACAATCTTCATGATCCGTTTAAAAGTCTCAGCGATTCTTGGATAGCGGTGTGTTGTAAGCAGCAAAAAGCGGAATGACTGAGACGTGGAATCAGCGCGTTGGCAAGTGATCGCGTCGCAAGTGAAGTGAGCCGGTTATGGCTCTTCCTGGAGGCTTTGAATCGTTGATCGAGTTTACTTTATCTTAATGTTTTGATTCCGAACGAAGTGGCTCAACAACTTGAGCCTCAGATGGGGTCGATTTGAGAACTCGTGGACATGTGTACTTCGAAATACAACCAAGATTACGGCGGGACAAGTGCACGACGGAACAAGTTATCGCCATCGAGTATAACTGGTATATTATTCGAGTATTTCAATTGTCACGATAGGCTGGAGCTTTACATAACAAGCATTGATTTCATTGGTACCGGCACAGCACTGCTGAATACACCGCTATTTTATACTACTTGTTACAATACTCGTAGTTTGTAGACTCATCTTCTCCCAACACAAAGAATCTACCTCAAAACTACTCGTATTTTTTTTAATAAAACTACTAGTAGTGCTGTATTTAGCTAAAATGCATTTGCTTTTCTTGGGGATCCTACATGTACTTCGAGGTATCACGGGATCCGAAAACGTTTGCAGATTGTTGAACTCGCAACACAACAACACATTCTTTTATTTTAACACCTTCATAGTTGTATGTGCTGTGAAACAGTTTTTTTTTTTCTCATGCACATCGTTGACGGAGGCAGGTACTTCAGAAGTAATCACCTAGGGCGTGACGCAACACGTAAACGCTTCATTCCCTCAGATATCTAATCATGTGAGTCAGATTGGTACGAAAAAGCGTCCAGTCTCGAAGAAATCATACTCTCGGAAGTAAACTCGACGAGTTATATGTGCTGCTGCGTATTCGAAGATGCCAACAAGCACGTGCTGGTCAAGTACAGGCAGGGGTAGTTGTCTCCTCTTTTTGGTATCACGGCGTTCACTACGTCTGGTACCCATGACACTCAAGAACGCAGCCTTACATTTCATCGAGAGAGCGGAATGCGTCACAGGGAGAGACTTGAGGTGGTACGACTTCAGCTTGTTATAGTACATCATGTGAGGACGCTGCACAACAACGTCCAGATACTCCAGTGTGCGATTCAACTCCAGCATCGTCAACAAAGCAGCATAGCACTCGTCGTACGGATGATAAAATGCTCTCTGATCCATTCGAACGCGCAGACGTCGTGTACATTTTGCAAGTGGATTCTCAGAGTCGCAAAGCGCTTCAGCGATCCCTATGATATCCGATGTAAACGTAAAATGTGAAGAGGGGTCAAGCGACAAGTCCCGGTAGTTGCTGTCGCGGAGGCTAAAGCGCATCTCGATAGTATGAGTGCACACAGCCAGTTCGACGAGATTCGGACAACTTGCTACGATTCCTTCCAGCTCGCTAGTATTGAAGCTCTCAAACTCGAGTGTTAAATGTGTGAGCGAGGCACCAACAAGTAACAGCAGACCTTGCAGGACTTCTGGGTCGGGATCTCCACCGAACTCGATCGTAAGCGTTGTAACGCCAGCCAATCCGTTGGGTTTAAGCGTGAGTTCTCTGAAGATTAAGGTTTTGCGCCGCACCTGGCATCTTCCGAACCCGGGAATCAAGACAATTACCCAGCCACGTTCATCGACTTCACCTAGTAGCCTCACTCCCGAAATCTCCCTTTCCAACTTAAACGAATGGATCGTATTGAGCTCTTCATATGGGGACATCGACAGCAACTGTATCGTTGATCCAGCCTTAATGCAAATATCGATTGACGCATCATTTAAATGCCTTGGCAAGCCGAGCAGATCTTCTTCTGGAGCATCAGACGCCAGTACTGCAGCCATAGCCTCCACAGCTTTGTTAGTGATCGCTGCAGTGTGAAGAGTGAGGCTTTCAAGTCGTGAATGGAGCCGGGCTTTCTCCGAAAAGCAAGCAAAGATAATCCACTGCCACCTCCAGCGACCAAGCGCCCAATCACCGTCATCATCACTGTCTCCATCGTTCAGCTCCAATCCCACTGAAAGATGCTTGGTAGTCTGGCTTACCGCGACAGCTGAGCACATCCGTTCAAAGACCCACTGCTGCATGGGCTCGCAGTCAAAATGCACAGAAGCAAGAGCGAGCTGGTCGCCGTGTCCATACTCAACTGCAAGAGGCCCAGTGATACTAGTCGCCTCAAAGTCAAATTCTCCACTTTCAAAAGCCGTCTTCTTCGTACCTCCAAACAATCCAAACACCAGCTTCCCTACTGTTTCCCGAGCTTTCTCTAAGTTTTCATTCGACGTAAGCTGGTAGTCAAGTTCCTGCCTCAACGCCAATCCAGATATCCTAATACCATCGTGAGCGAGATTCTCTACCAGCTCCGCCAATTCACCGCTGATGTTAATGTCTCGCACGTCTACCATAATGGATTCCAGCACAAACACAACACTAAGGCGAGGGTGCTCTCGAACACAATACTGCTGCCACTGTGCCCGAATGGTTCTAATTGTCTCCTGCACCTTTCGAAGATACGCTACCATCTCTTGACTGCTCGGCGTAAGCCACGGTCCCAACTGGACAGTAACCGGAACCTCAATTTCCGTCGATCCAATGCACAACTTCTTACCGCTCCTAGCTGCAATTTTAACCAGAGTTCGCTTGTATTCTGCACTTTGAGTGGAATATTGCTCCGTTCCACAAAATTCCAGTATTCCTTTCAAGAGTTCTCCATCACTGTCGACTTCGTTGCCAACCAGTGCCAACTGAAATCGAGGCATGACCTCCCCCTCGAATTGCTCCTCTTGCTTACTCACTTTCAATTTTCCACTCTCCACTAGCAATTTCTTGTACGCGGCATTGTCAACGTGCGCAACTGCTGCTAACAGCCCCAGCGCCTCTCGTAAGTCTTGACACAGAGTTTTCCCATCCACCACTTCCTCATCGTCGCTCCAAGGCTGGAAACTTGGCAGTTCCACTTCAATTCCACGGAAACGCTGCCCGGGCGCATCCTCTAGTGCGCCCTTCACATACCGCAGACGGTGGGAGACTTGATGACACCAGGGCAGCAGGAAGTCCCAGCTGTCCTCCATCGGCTTTCATAAAATGTTAACAAACTTTTGCTTTGTCAAATTTTGACAAAGCACAAGTTTGTTAACATTTTCAAATTTACTATGGTATTTCGACGTCAAATGTCATACTGTATCCACATATCTGCCAAATTGTTTTTACGCCGATTAAAAACACAAACTAATCAAATAAAACATTCATAACTGAGGCTGGTAACTTGTCGAGCTTGAGCTGAGCTGAGAGCTCCTCGACTTCGAGTGCCTGCAGCGATTCGCAGTAGTGCTGCAATCTCCACGTAGCCCCCAGCAACAGCCCGCGATAATGGTGTCTCCCCCACCACATTCTTTGTGTTCGGTGACGCACCATGGGCAAGCAACGCACGCACAACATCGAGACGCCCTCGAGTTGCAGCGAGAAGAAGCGGTGTGTCTCCAATACAACTTTTAGCTTCGACACGCGCTCCATGACTCAACAGCAAATGAGCAACTTCAATGTGGCCACACAGAGCAGCAGTGGATAACGCGGTGTACCCACGCGTGCGATTTGGTGCATCGACAAAGGCTCCATTCTCCAGCAAGAGTCGGACGATTGCAGTGCGTCCGCTACGGGCAGCGATCTCTAATGCTCGATTGCCATCTCTATTGACAGCTTCGACAGTGGCTCCACGACTCAGCAGCACCTGAACAATGTCCGCAAATCCTCTTTTAGCAGCAGCCATGAGTGGCGTATATCCCCTCCACTCTGCTGCATCCACAGCAGCTCTGCCTGCGTCCAGCAGCAATTCACACACAGCTTTGTGTTGTTTCGACGCAGCCAAATACAGAGCTGTACATCCTTCTTTGCTCTTGTTCTCTACTGCGTCGACCTCGCGCTGGAATGACAATGGCAACAGATCTTCCACAATGTAGGCGTGGCCCTGAGCTGCTGCGTACATTAGCGGTGTTAATCCAGTGACCTGATCACGAGCCGTCAAGTCTGCCCCTGCACTCAGCAGCTCTCGGACGACTTCTAGTCGTCCGTTCCCTGCTGCGAGATGCAGTGCAGTATGACCAGACTTGCAGTGCAATTCTAGACTCGCTCCTCTAGTGACTAGAAGCTCCACCAACGCGAGTTGTCCGTTCCTCGAGGCGAACATCAACGGGGTCATACCCTCATTATCCATCGTATCCACCTTGGCACCGGCACTTAGAAGCAGCCGAGCGGCCGCCACACGACCACATTGCACTGCAATACTTAGAGGCGTCCCGCCCTTATTATTTCGCATCTCGAGTGATGCGCGTCGACCCACTAAAGCCTGCACAACATCGGCGTGTCCCTCTCGAATCGCCAGCATCAACGGTGTCCAGGAATTGTTGTCACTCCCATTCATTGCAGCTCCAGCATTCAGCAGTAGCTCAACAACTTCCAACCGCCCAGCTCTAGCAGATACCTGCAGTGCACTGCTCCTTTCTGAGTTTTGGGCATCGACACTAACCCCTCGATCCAGCAGACAGCGAACGTTGCTTGTGTGACCCCTCTCTGCTGCCAGGACCAAAACCGTCGCATACGTTTTAGCATTCCGTGCATCGACAACAGCCAGACCTTCCTCCTTGAGAACCCGGAGTAAATCCGTCTGACTCCGAGCCACAGCGAGATGGCGAGAGACTCTGCGGTTGATGTCCAAAGGTGGAATTGCAGTTATACCACAACTGAGCTTTGTGTATTTCAGAGTCATGTTCATGGATAGAGGCGTCCAGCCATCGCCCGTTTCCACAGAAGATCGCGTATCTGGAATGGACATCGCGTTGCAAATTGAAGTGTGGGGGCCAACGAGCAGTGGGTTCGTGGACTCGTGCGGTCGTGAAGATGACACTGTGAGGATGACGCGTGCTAAAGAACAACAGTCCAGAGGAGTCGGTTTGTGGCGGAAATGGAGTGTTCTACAGTAAAGTGGAGCGGGGTGCTGCATGCAAAGCTTTGAAAGAAGCAGCACTCACGTGCGTGACCGAAGGTGATACGTGGAAACAGTGGCCAGCAATGAGATGGTTCGATGTACTACGCAGAAGTACCGCTACGATAGCTCGAGCATGTCGCTGAGGATGGCAGCACCAAACCTTGGCACAACAGCTAAAAGTTTAACCATTTTGCGGTAAATAGGACCTCAGATTTTCTATTGAGGTGTAATCGCAAAACATGATTAAAATGACCATAAAAATGTTTTCCTGAGCATTTCGTTCCAGAAACGTGGTAAAAGTCCAATACTATTGTATGTACACAATCATATTTACGGAGAGCGGCGGATTCCAATAATCCGTTATTCCGTCAATACAATTCTAAAATTATTTATTATATTATTTTTCCCGTGATTTTCGGGACCTATGTCGAAATGATAACTATAAGGATGGATATAGTGATCTTTCCGACAGATAGTTCTACAGATTTGCTCAGTTGCTACTCAATTGTGAATATTAGCCTATCATATCTTGCCTCTCCTGAGTTTCAGCCAATGATTTTGTTTAGGGCTAGGTGTACAGCTTCCGACAATTTCCGACAAATATTTGTCGGAAGCTCAGCCAAATTATGTATATCTCGATACAAACATGAAGTCAAAAAAATGTTCTGAATATATTCAAACGGTTCTTACAACTAGGCCTAATTCTAAAGTAGGACAGGTGAAAAGGACGTTGGTAGACAGCCATTCGTTGACCACTTTTCAAAAAGAGAAAAGACACGCACATGAGCCTCTCAGCTTTTGTACCAACAAACACGCAAAAGGCACGCGCCACCGCTATCAGCGCGTTCAAGCGAATGCTGGAGCTTGAGGGTGTTAGTATGGAATTTGTCCACGCTAGCATTCTCAAAGACGATTCTGGCAAACGTCTTGCCGCAGCAATGGATCGATTCGGCTA